GGGTATGAATACTTTCGCAAGGCACTGTATATATATATATATATATATATATATATATATATATATATATACACATATACATACCGAAAAAGTCTAGAGAAAAGCATTTTGCAAAATATTAGACTAATATACTCATTATATTTTACTTAACCTGTTAGCGATGTCTTAATTATTTAATGTATGGTTAAATAAATCTGTTATGAAACAAGTTATGACAGCCACTGTGCAAATTAATATATTTCAACAACAAATAGAATGTTATAATTTTAGAAGTTAATTTAAAAACTGGGGACAAATCTTGAAAGTGCGAGAATAACCACTATTGATATGTAGCGCTGGTAGGATTGATGAAATGCATTTTTCCCCCTTTTATTTATGAATGATTGTCACTGTTATGGGAATGCAGCCACAGAACAAACTCAAATCAAAAGCTGCAAAGCTGTAGTCATCAAACAAACCGAAACACAAGTCTCCAAATCTATTTATACTGTACTTTTTAGGACATGAATGAGGTCTCGTCCTGTCATGGATTCTATAATGACATAAGAGCTAACATATAATGTCGATTTTATATATTAATACTGTGCACAAATAGCACAAGCACATAAAAATAATTGGTCACTATGGGTGTCATCATTTGTACATGCTTTTTTCCTTTTTAAATATGTTTACCTGTTACACTATAAAGAAAAACATCACTTGCACAAACGAGGTATAAATAAACATCATAAATACATAACCACAAATTAAAAACCCTTCAAGGCCTGCTAACAGATGTTTTAAAAAATGTAAACATACAAAGAAGAAAAACTAAACATGATAGCTTTGAAAACTTAATCCCACGTTCATAAAACATACACACCCAAATAAAATGATAGCAACAGTCATAAACTCCTATGTACAGTAGAAAGCACCAGGTTGTTGCACGAATGAGCAGTGTAGCTCATGTTGACCCAGGCTCTCCACATAAACTTTTATAAATATTTCTGTGTAGGTTTATAAGTGGTAGATAAATGTACAGTATTATAAAGTCCTGATCAGTTCTCGCTCATCTCATACTGTTCTGGTAACCACCTTTATGCAATAATAAGTCTTACTATTTCTTATTGAAACCATGCTTTGTCACCATTGCCTTGAAGTCCAGACTAAACACTTTGGGGGGTGAAAAAAAGAGGATTGCTCCCTCATGCTCACCCTTGGCTCTCGACTGCAAGATCGATGCCAACTCCAAATGAAAAGTTCTGGATCATTGAGTCGCATTTAGAGCTCTAGTTTTTAAGAATCAACATATCATTGGGTATGTTTCCATGAAACCGTCTCAAATGCTCCTTTATTCCCTCTAAAAGTCTTTTCATAGACCTATAACCAGAATGCTCTTTTATGCCAGTATTTCATGGTGTTATAAGCACAGCTTGTTATAAAACGCCTCTGAGATGGATGATGAATAATCGCTGGTGTCCAAATCTGTTCTTGTTTTGATGTACAGTCCATTTCCCACAATCCTCATTTACTCGACGGAAAGAGGAATGCGGTCTCCACCTATGTCATGCATCTGTACTTGAGAGAGTTTTGGAGAGAAAGAGAGATGAGGAGTGAGACAGACTGAGATTTTAAAAAACGAGATCCCGGAGCTGCCGGTCTTGCGTCTGTGTATTTGGACTGGCCTCTACAGCAGGGAGCTCGGGGGGCTTTCGGAAGGGGGTGGGGTGTGTGTTGGGCTGTGGCGCATTGGCAAGATGTCGTAGTGGCTGGGAATGTGGCTGTTCCGCGGGAGGTCATAAGGACTCTGGGAGAATCCGGTTGCTAGGCCGTTGGGTCCCTGAAGCACACTCACTGTCGGTTCTGAGGAAGAAGGGTGGAGAGAGGTGAGCGGCTCAATTTCTCAAACTCTCTCTGAATCTTCAACACGCACTGTAGCTCTCTCTATGGTATACAGCACATTATGTTCTAAATATTTTATAAAGAATCTTTACAACATAATCTAGATTTAAATATTTCCCCATTTGATATTTTGACATAATTTGGGGAAAATAATGACACTGAATATTGCCATATTGTAATACAATACTGCAAACTTGTATCATAATCAAAAATGCATAAACACAATTATATTAATATAAACCTTTAAAAAAAAAGTATACATTTTGTTATTTCATATTAGTGCTGTCAAACGATTAATCGTGATTAATCGCGTCCAACATAAAAGTTTGTGTTTACATAATATATGTAGGTATTCTGCGTATATTTATTATGTATATATAAATACACACATACAGTAGATATTTTGAAAATATTGACATGTATATACATTTATATATCTATATTCTTATATTTGATATATAAATATATTTAATATATAAACATAACATATTTTTCTTAAATATATACATGCATGTGTTTGTATTTATATATACGCAATAAATACACACAGTATACACACACATATTATGTAAACAAAAACTTTTATTTTGCATGCGATTATTCGCGATTAATCGCTTGACAGCACTATTTCATATATTTTATATATACAGTAACAACAGTTGTTATTTTTAACTAAAACTAAAGCAATTCAAATTTTTGGTAATTGAAATAAAGCTGAAATAAAATATAAATATTAGATAAAAAACATAAACTTAAATGAAAATGATAAATGTTGCCTTGGCAACTACCTGAAATAAATAATCGAAGTTATAAAATTACAAAAACTAAAATTGAAATAAAAATAAACTAAAGCTATATAGAAAAAAATTATCAAATTGACAAAAGGACTATTTTGAAAAAAATACTAAAACTTGATGTATAAAAATAAAAATATGAAAACTGAAAATATAAAAATATAGGCTAATTCAAAATATGAATAAATACTATTATAGCATATAAATAATACAGAATAACACTAATATATAAATATAAACATGTAAAAATATAAATAGATTTATGTATTCATTATATTATTTGTACAATATATGGAATATGGTAATATTTATACTTTCTTTTTTGTTCATTACACTTCAAAGTAAATATTTTTAAATAATATAATAACATCTATCTAAAACATATACACATGCAAACCTATTTTATTTATAAATAAAATAAAAAGTAAACACACCTGACTATTGAATTACTAATTATATCAAGAAATAACCTGACAGCTCAGAATTAGGCTTACTTATTTATGAATAAATAGTTATGCAGTTGTAATTTCTCTTTTCTAATTCATTTATGAATGACACATGGCAACATATATATTGTACTTATTAAAGATTCAGCAAAAAGATGCAAAATCACAGAATATGTCTGTCCTATAGGAATTACAAAGCAGTGTGTTTTTCTCATTAGAGAGAAAGTGAAGGAAAATGTTTCCATATGGCAACATCGTACTAACAACACTGTATTAATAACAATGTTGTGCTTAAAAAGACAAAAATGAGAGAGCTGGAAACTTCACATAAGAAGTAAGTATCCATCTGCATACATGAGACTCACCCACGTCATAGACGTTCCTGCTGGCAGTGGTCAGGGTTGTGCTAGTGCTGGAGCAGAAGGTCAGGTCTCTGTGAGCAGGTGACTTCATCTCCACGTAGCTGCTTTCAGTGTGCTTGCAGGCCAGGCTGGGCGGATCTCGGATGGTGGCGTACGGGTTCTCACTATTTAGGGAGCACGAGCTGGAGCTACACATGGAGGCCTTTATGTAATCTACACACATTACAGAAGAGATATTACTCACATATTCATTTCACATCACCCTCTGGGAGAGAACAGACACGGGAGAGACAAAAATGTAATAAATGTTATTATTTGTACAAAGAACTATATGAAAAATTAAGTTACATTCAAGACTTTCTCTAGTCAAAGATGCAAAATAAGCACTTTTCCATGATGTACTGTTTAAAAAACAGCATCCCAGGGTAGATTTTCACAGTGAAATCCTGTTAGATGGCACTGGAAAATCTTGTTACTAAGCTAAGATCTAATGTAGCTGAAGAAGAGATTGTGGAGAGAGAGTAAAAGATTTGCAGGATGTATTACTTATGTACATCATCCAGAAATATAGAGGAAGAGATAAAGTCGTGCTCTGTAGAATGAAGGCAGTGATGACACAACAGACTATTTACTATTTATAGACTTTAAATGTAAAGTATTTGTGAATGAGGCAAATGCACATCCAGGTCAGTGTGATCACTATATTGTTTCACTTCACTGACTTGGATAATCTTTGAAAGTCATTCTTAATTTACTGAGAGAACGCAGTGGTCCTTGTGTAGGGACCAGAGAAAAAACGGAAAAGGACCTCTTGTGTATAGCGTGGTATATTCTTATTACAAGAGCAAATGTCCTTCATAGTTATTACCTTTGGCCATTCGAGTGGTTTTGTTGTCCCTCGGTGTAAGTGTATCTCCTCTTGATACTCCTAACGAGGCACATGAACACACATTCTGAGTAATTCATGATTCAACAACAGTATAAATGGTCAATGATAAACATCAGTAATGGGAAATCTCCGCAGAAAAGTCATAATGATATAGTGATGGGAACAGATAAGCTGCACTATCAAATAGCATGTTGTAAAATATTAGCCTATAATATATGCAGTATATAGTCTCTTGTTAAATTAAATGTTAATATATATTTTTCAATATATTGATAGTAAATTTTCTAGCACAAATGCCAACATTTCCTCATGTTGTCTCCAACCAAAATTAGATTATACTTTAAATACCTTTTTAGACGACAATTTACTGTTATTGAATGGATGGATTTTTAGGCTTAATGGTGAATCTAAAGCACCAACAAAATCAAACACATATAGGAAGGCAGGTAAGCAAGATAAAAAGAACAACACAGGAAGGCCTGCACATATACATATAAAAGCAAAGTCAGGCTCTTACGCAATACCCAACTTTGACACTCTAATGAGTATTCTGAGTTAACCTTTAAACGAATCACATCTCTAAATCACGTTTCTCAGCTGACTACCCAGAGATACTGACATGCCTTTAAGGTGACGTCAAGATCTATAAATGAAAATGCTCAAACATAACACCCACCCCACACTGATAAAGCCAGTGCAATATTAATTAGGATTGTCTCTGTACATAGTCTCCATGACAGCAGTAGAGTTACAGTGTACGCTCACTGTTCAGTTGGGATTTTCCTCTATAGAAATGTGATGTAGTTTAGTCTGTTAAAGAAAAGGACAGTTTGTACTTTCACTTGTTTTGACTTGAATCAAAATCGTTCTCATTCACTCATTTCACACAGATTCCTAAAGTGAAGAATTCATAGAGAAGATAATGTCTTTGTAATCTTCATCAGAATGTAACAATGTTTGGCCCAGGCTTTGAAATGGCTTTGAAATAACTTTGCATTTATAAACAGGTGGTCATCTACAAGTTAACATTCGACAATGTGACTGGAAATCAGGAAAACTTCCTATAAAAAGACGAAATCACTGTCCCACTTTGAACTTGTGGTCACTGGCCCTATTTCACTTCCTCTATTGGCTTGCAACAGAACATGATTAAAATACCCACCCTCCAACCAGAGTCTGAGGCCTTGTATGCTCTGCTGAAGCCTTATCAGCAGACCTGCAGGTAGACATAATGGGGTGAGGTGGCTTGGGATGGGAAGCCAGAGAGGTAATGAACTCTCTCCCCCCTAGTCTGAGTGACCTTGGATAATATAGGCAAAGTCTGACCTTCCACCATGTGCATGTACCACCTAAAGTAAGGGCTTATTAAAAACGCAGCAGGCGGAGGTCTTCCTCTAGTGCCAGAAGCGCCGTCTGGTGTTTTTTACAACCCCCAGGAATGAGTAAGTAGTTTAATTCTCTGGTGCTTCAACGGAAAACAAATGTCTTATTTGTTTTGTGGAATAGGCTGAGCGGAGAAAAGAATGATATATTTGATCCATTTCAAATTGCATGAGTACTTTTTTAGGCTTTGTCTGACGGGAATCAGATAGAAGATGGTTTAAATAGGGGGTGAGATAAGAAATTAAGTGAGGACACTGACCCAGGTCATTGAGATTGCAGTACGCTCTCCATTCTGAACTGTTCCTGTCTCCTTTCTAAAAGGGGAAAAAAAGACACTCTGAAAGATCATTGGCCTGATAGCCTTGATGAAACAGTGTAATGCAGGGATTCTTGACCTTTTTTGGTCCACGACCTATTTTTTATGTTCTAATGTTCTTGCAATGTCACACGCCAATTGAATTGAGTCCGAATTAAGCTATAAAATGTATCTCACAAGCATGATTTCCTAACTAGAAAATTATATTTTTAAGAACAACACATTTTATAAGTCAATTTTATTGTTATTGACACTGTCTTAACTATAACACATTGTTTGGTTAGCCTTTATTGGTATTAATCCTGTCTAATGTACACTACTGTTTAAAGGTTTGTGTTCAGTTAGAATTTTATGCTCGCCAAGTTTGCATTTATTTGATTAAAAAAACAATAAAATTGTTAAATATTAATAATATTATAACAATTTGAAATAGTGGTTTTCAATTTTAATATATTTTAAAATGAAATTGCCATATGATGGCAAAACTGAATTTTCAGCAGCTATCACTCCAGTCTTCAGTTTTCTCATGATCCTTGAGAAATTATTCTATTATGATCATTCTAATATGATAATTTGGTGCTAAAGAAATATCTTTCATAATTATCAATGCTGAAAACAGATGTGCTTCTTAATAACTCTGTGGAAACTCAAACATTTTTTGAGGATTCTTTGATAAACAGAACAGCTTTTATTTGAAACAGAAATCTTTATAGCATTATAGATATCTTTACTGTCACTTTTGATCAATTTAATGCAAAAAGTTTATCTGTCGGACCATCATGAAGTAGGATGCGAACCCCTGCTGTAATGAAAAAAGTGTCTACATTATGTCCTCACCTTAAGAGTGAGAGTACCATCCAGGTTGTTTGTGATGGAGGACGAGATGTTGCACTGTGCCACAGTGTGGTAGCTGGGATTGGAGAAGCACTGGCCACTGCTGCTGTTCTGAGATGTTTCTAAAGGAGAGAGCAAGACAGAAGTGTTCATAACTTCTACAAACTACAGTGTACAAACTTATGAAACTCCTGTCTGATAATGCATAATGCATAACATCCTGTTCCTGCAATAACAGAGAAGAAGAGGGCAGTTTAATGGCCCGAAATTCATGACACTTAATGGAATTGGTCAAGCCATTTATAGCCACATCATCAAAACTAGCCCACGCAGCTGGCATAAAAAATGACCATGAATATGCGTAATTTCACATAATTAAAATATGAATTGAATACTTAAGCGAAGGTTATCAATATATGAAAAGTGTGGTAGCACTGTGATAACCATAATACAGTGCTGAAACTGTTGCTTTTACTGTCACTTACTGAACAGACAAAAATGTCGCTACACATCGTTCAAAATACTTGTAAAAACATTCGTGGAGAATCTGAAGTTGTTCATAGCAGCTTATTCAATATTTGATGATTAGTCTCAAAGGAGGTTCTCACCAGAGAGGGAGTAGTCAGTGTTGGTGACACGGAGGGCTGGGGTGTATGAGACACTGGGCATTTCCCGGCCTTTGTCTCTCTGTCTCTGCCTGAACCAAACAAACAAGCTGAGCATGGCCATGATGATCAGCAGCAGGAAGATGATGCCCATGACAGCACCTGCGGACTGGCGCTCTGAACCCAGAGAAGGACTGATCTTAGTGTAGGGGTTCAGCTCCTCCATCACTAGAGCCGCTGAGACACAGAATATGATTATGTTGAAATCAATGTGGAGTAGATCAGGTACTTAATTCCTTAATTTGTACAGGTACAAAATAATTATTATGCATGCTAATCTCTTGTTGCACATATGATGACAGACACAACAAAACTACAATAATTAAGACTTATGAAGAAAATGTGAGTGGTGCATCATGCAGTAATCTGGGTGGTTGCCAGGGCATTACTATGCAGTTTCTAAGGGTCTGAGTAGTTGATAGTGTGTAGCTATGCAGCTCCTAGGGTATTCTATGTGGTTGCTAAGGGTCTAAGTGGTTGTTAATGTGTTGCTATGTAGTTGCTAAGGGTCTGAGTTGTTGTTAGTGTGCTGCTATTTGGTTGCTAAGGGTCTAAGTGGTTGTTACCGTGTTGCCATGTAGTTGCTAAGGGTCTGAGTGGTTGTTAGTGTGTCGCTAGGTAGTTGCTAAAGGTCTGAATATTTGTCAGTGTGTTGCTAAGGTTTTGAGCGGTTGTTAGTGGGCTACTATTTGAGTTGCTAAGGGTCTGAGTGGTTGTTAGTGTGCTACTATTTGGGTTGCTAAGGGTGTGACTGGTTGTTAGCATGGTGCTATTTAGTTGCTAGGGGTTGCTATGAGTCTGCTTGGTTGCTAAGAGTCTAAGTGGTTGTTAATGTGCTGCTATATAGTTGCCAAGGGTCTATATGGTTGTTAATGTGTTGCTTTGTAGTTGCTAAGGGTCTGAACAGTTATTAATGTATTGCTATGTAGTTGCTAAGGGTCTGAGCGGTCGTTTGGATGCTGGAATTTAGTTGCTAGGGGTTGCACGTTCTGTGTGATTTGTGAATGCCTTTTAGAATGTCCTGTGACAGGACCCCTCTTGCTTTGTAGTTTCTACAGTGTTCTATGTGGTTGCTAAAGGTCTGAGTGGTTGTTAGTGTGTTTCTATGTAGTTGCTAAAGGTCTGCGTACTTATTAGTGTTACTAATTGGTTGCTCCAGTGTTCTAGGTGGTTGCTAGCGTCTTGCTATGTGGTTACTTAGAGGCCCAACTCTAAAATATATCAGGCTCTTTCGTTCAGTATAAACCTATGGGATTTTTCCATAGTTTTTTTTTCACCCCAGATGAAAAAGGACGTAAAGAAAGAGAGCGTTACCCTGGTCACAGCGGATTCCTTTGTATCCCGGGCTGCAGTAGCACGTTCCGGTCACGTAGTCGCAGGTGGCGTTGTTCATACATTCACACAGCTGCTGACAGCCATAGCCAAATGTCCCGGGAGGACACTCTGTATAAAAACACATACGCAAACACAATTAACCAAACATCCCAGGCCAACACCATGTAAAACAAACACTTAAACACACGTTGTGATCGACTGCCTGGGATGGTGGATGGGGAACACAGACACAAATCATCAGTCACCACCATCATCATCATCGGGGCTGCTAAACGTCTCTTTCGAATTGACATTCTCACAACCCCCTAACATAAGAACACAATTCTTAAAGAGGCTACAACACTCACTCTGTTCACAGTTGGTCCCAATAAAGCCAGTCCGACAGGCACACTGGCCAGTGATATGATCACAGTCAGCTCCATTTTGACAGCGGCACACCTCTGCACAGTCTCGCCCATAAAACCCTGAGGGACAGCCTGAAGGAAAGAGATATCCTTCTACATCACATTAACCTACAACACACAGTTGGTGTACGCTGATGACGCCAGCAACAGGAAACCCAGAGTGAAAGAGAAGCCGCAGCATTCGAATTTGACAAATTGAACTATATTAGCATGGCAGTTTTTCCCCTTTCAGTCTCGTACACTAATAGCAATTCATAGACAAACACGCACAGTACATAAATACACAAACACGCAAAGACAGTCTGACCACCAAAGATAACAAGCCTACTGGAGCAAACATTGCACCAAAACACAAACTGATTTCATCACTCCTCAAGAAAGAGTTTATATCACTGCCATCATAAAAAAAAAAGTTTCAAACAGAGTGGCAGCAGAGGAGGGATCAAGAAATGATTGACGTAATGAATGAAAGATGGATTCTGCTTTTTTGCAGGCGTGATGCTGATGGCTTTTGATTTCAGCCTTGAGCAAAGTCATATAATGAGTTAAATGAGTGACGTGAAAAAAACGTGCATTTATTATTAAGGACCACTCAGTGGCATCATAACATCATGAGATTTCACAACTCCCTGGTGCAGTTCTGAAATACTGCCAACAGATGTCACTGTATCACTTTACGTGTGTGTGTGGGAGAGTGTTTGCATGTGTATAATAGAGGCTTGTTTGTACATTTAATAACTGTGAATGTGTGTGTATTTGTGTGTGAGAGAGACTCACGTTGTGTGCAGTAGAGGCCGGTCCAGCCCAGGCTGCACCTGCACTCTCCGTCGTAGGCACTACATTGGGCTCCGTTGTGACAGTTACATGAGTTCAAGCAGTCAGGGCCCCACTGGCCTATGGGACAAACTGCGGAGCCAGAGACACCGTCAAATGAAGACTAACACACATGTGTATTGTGTTTTAATATAAAACAGGCGTCCAAACGCACATTTACAGGCCCCTGACTGACATAACATGTATACAAAATGATGCATTTGATGTAAAATTGGCATGTTTTGTAAATAAAATGTGGTACAGCCAAAATAAAGAGGAAATCACATTGAAATGAGGGCCATAGCTACAGTATAAATGTTTTAATTTAGTCAAGTTTAAGCTGAAAATGTCACTGTTTGGAATTAATAATTGAAATCCCCCAACCAATCTTCACCTCTTCACTTACAGCAAACAGTGTTAGATTAACAGCGTGAGAGGGGAGGGGGACGTGAGGGCGAGTGATAAATTCTCCGGGACATTGTTGCTCTCATCTCTATTTCATATTGCCACTCTCTTGCACTGTGTAAATTATTGAGAGTGTGCTATCAAGTAATTTATTGAAGAAATTGTTGGTCTCCATCAGCCGTGCTTGTGAGGTATTTGGCAAAGAAAAATGGACATGGTCATGATTTACATGGCACTATGACATGAGATGTCCATGAAAGAAATGGGGCGAAAATGGATGGGAAAGAGTAGTAGGATAGAACACTAAAAGAGTGGGAGAAATAAAAGAAGGTGAAACTGAAAACGTAAACAAAGAGAAGGACAAACTGGTTCGTACTCTGTGAACAGTCGTCTCCAGTCCAACCTGGGAAACATTGGCAAGAGCCATCAATGGGGTTGCAGGTGCCATTGTTTGTGCACAAGCAGATCTCAGCACAGGCTTTCCCATATTTGCCACTGGGACACACTGACGGGACAAAAACAGACATAACACAGACAGAAAGCACAACATTTAATCCTGTGAGTCATTCTTTCAATGGTAATCACAGCATATCTGTAGGATGCTAACAATGAATACTCCTCCTAATACTGATCTTAGTTCACAGTAATGCTATTGTGTTTTCCAGTTAAATATTTGCATTCAAATGAAATATCCTTCTGAAATAGCTTTTGCTTTCAGTGAAATTAAGGTGAAGTGTGTCAGCAGCGGCACTGAACAATTTGTGATTGAAATTATGAAAAATAAAAATGATTCTTTCCCAAACTCTACTACAGCCCCACCCAGTTCTTTTGAAAAGACAAAATGCTCTTATTTTCACCAAGGCTGCATTTACTTGATTAAAAATACAGTACAAAACAGTAATATTGTGAAATATTGTTTCAACTTAAAATAACTGTTTTCTATTTTAATATATTTCAAAATACATTTCACATATTTGATATATTTCATTCATTTATTCCTGTGAAAAGCAAAAAGCTTAATTTTCAACAGTCAATGCTCCAGTCTTTAGTGTCACATGATCCTTCAGAAATCATTTGCTGATTTTGGTGTTTAAGAAACATTTCTTATTATCATCAATTTTGAAAATAGTTATGGGCTGCGTAATATTTTTGTGGAAACCAAGACAGTTTTTTTTTCAGGATTCTTTGATGAATAAAAAGTGTGAAAGAACAGTATTTATTGAAAAACAGACATTTTATGTAATATTATAAATGTCTTTACGGTCACTTTTGATCAATTTAATGCATCCTTGCTGAATATCAAAGTATTAAATTCTTTTAAAAATAAAAAAAATCCTACTGACCACATACTTTTGAACTGCTGATGCAGTGATATTTTTGACTTAAAATAATTTAGATGTTACCACATGAAGCAATTTAAGGGTTAATGTAGTTATAGTTTCTGAATTAAACTTTACTGTAACATCTTGCAATTCACCTTTAAAACTTTTCATAGATCATAATGTGTGACAGTAAGTTCTATGATAGTTCTGCATGAGTATTAACTGATGATAAACCAGAGTGACACATGCTGGAGTGATTGTAAGTCGTGTCTGTGTGCACTTCAAAGCTGAATCACCCTTCAAACATGTGCTTCTGTCACACTGTCCAATTATCCATAGGAATAGGGTCGACTGATGTACTACGAAATTAAAAACAGAGCTTGTGTAACTTTTTAATAAAATTAATGTATCACCATTCTCTGACACTTGCCTCAATTAGAAATTTCATGTTTTCCACCCCTCTCTCTTCTAGTTTCAGTGAGTTCACAGCAAGGTACCTAAAACTAGATGCTTCCCCATTGTCTCCCTAGTGGAAGACAGCATAAACGTCCTCAGCTTCTCATGAGAGTTGAAATACGGCCACACAACAGAGTCAGATGTTCCAATCAGATGGTTCGTCCATTGAGGTGAAGCTGAAGCTAAATCTTTGTGCCACTGACTTTTAATAATTATATTTCCACACTCTTCTCATTTTGTGGAAACTCTTTCAACTAACTCAAAGCTTCCTCTTATTAGCTAGTGGCCCCCTCATGTCACAGGCTCCGTTTCATTCCAGCTGTGACTAGCAGAAGTTCATTAGCTCGTTCTGAGATGGGTGAACGTGGGCTCAAGACATCGGAGGACGCCGACATAGACCGAACTACAAAAAAGTAGGTATGTGGGCTAGCCACAATCCCCCCGAGGCCTGACTTTCTTCCAGTAATTATGATCTGGACAAATTAAAACAAGCCTTCTCGAACCTTCTTCTTCTTCTGCTTTAACATATTAAATATTTATTCACGAGACAGCTCTGAAAGCAATGAAAGTGAATTCTATATATTCATGCTGCCTTTCCTTAACTCATGAAAAGACTGGTTAATTATTATGAGATGGTCTATCTATATTTCATCTGGACCTCTCAGTTGGGTGCTGTGGAGTGGAAAGTGAGTGTTAGGGTTTATTAGTTTGAGTTGAAAATCTGCCTCATTGACTTGAAACTTAACTCAGAATCCCATAACTATGTATAAGTGTATATAACAGTCAACATGGAGTCAATATTGACAGCGCTCCTTTTGGGCAGTGAGGAGCTTCATTTGAATAACTTTAAAAAAAAGTGAAAATCACAGTAGAGAAACGATCCCTTAAAAAAAAAGTATATCAGGGATGCAGGGTTTATTCCGGTCAAAACCTGCTGGTAGAAAGTATGATATTTTCATTGCATCTTTCTCCATTAACAGCCATTCGAAAGTTGCCATACTTTCTGACTAAATAAATTAGTTTTTCTAGCAACATATATGCAGATATGTCATTATATTACAGTAGATGTTTTGCCATCAGCCAGAGATGGCAGATTTAAAACTGTGCACTTCTCAGGGAGGGGGCTATCCATAAGCAGCACAGCTGAATGGGAATGTTAACGGATAGCTCTCTCCAGGTATTATAGACCTCCTAGATGTAAATCTTGAAGCATGAAGTATATTAGTGGAAATTAACAAATTATTGTCTCTACGCTATCTCTGGTTTTCCACAGGAGCTTAACAAAAATGAAAAGCGGTGATATCGACCTGACTCTTCAGTGTTTGTCTCGCTCAGAAGAACGAGCTCAGCAATATTCAGATTTCCTCTGAAGGTTATTTGTCAGAGTGTCAGTGATAATGCCAATTATTTCAGTACGGCAGAGCCGCAGAGTCAGCGTGGCGTTCTGTGGATGGGCATGCTGCCGTTTGAAAAGCGCGCACACGCACAGAATGGCATTACAATGCCATGCAGGTCGAATACAGCTCATTTTAGTGACAGGTAGGTTGAGAGGGGTAAACCGCTATTTATGTGCATAATTTATGTATATAATCTCCAACTGAACCGCAATATCGTCATTACATACCAATCAAAATACATGTCAACAATAAATGGCAGTGTCTATCCATTTATGCTTCCTAAAGAGTGCACAATCCAGCCGCATTATTTAATCTACATAACAATCGATTCTGGTTCACTCTGGTTCATCAGCAGGGGAAGTAGCAACTAGAAAGAAAGAACTTTGATGTCATTACAGTCTGTGTGAATTGCTTCCAGAAGTGTTACCTGCTTATATGGGTTTGAATCATGCATTTTTAAAATGTGAGGAAAAAAATATTCTCAGCCAAAATTATCACTGGCCCCACCACAAAATGATAATAAATTATTTCATTATAAGCAATGCATTTTTACACACATTTTTAAATATACCAGTGAATATTTTCTTTTAATATTGATAAATACTGATAAATAAACTATTATAAATATAATATTTTCAGTTTAGAAATGTCAGTTTTCTTAAAAACAAATACTTAAATTATTATTATTATTATTTTAAAAAAAACATACATATTGTATAGCTACAAGGAAACTCCACAACAGCTATGATTTATTAACACACTGTTGCTGTAAAACAATAACTAGTTTGTAACTTGACTTTTTACTGATGCTTCCAAGACTATCACTATAAGTCATTCTCACAGTCTCGACAAAACTTTTGTTAATCTATGTCAGCCAGTTAGACAATGTTACATTGTCTAAATAATGTCTACATACAGTTAGACAATGACATTGGTGACAAAGCGGAATCTGCAACAACATTGTTCAATACACAAAAAAGTTTTCAAGGCATAATAATTATTGACAGCAACATTTCCATCAGCTGGCCCGAAACATTTTCACATTGGCCCCTGAGAGTTGTGCAAAAAGCAAAAACGTTCACCAGAACTGAAAATTGTGTGTTAGCAACAAGAATGTGTCAACAGTTTTGCAGAAACGGCTTATTTCTGGCACATTATCATGAGAAATGGATGCCTTAGTGTATTGATTCAGTCATAGTGTGTTTCCAATTGAAAAAATACTGTAATTATAGTAAAGGTACTTGGACAGTGATGTGACCATACTTCTCTCGTACCTCTCTCCAAGCAGAACTAGCCTCTAAGGATCTGTAGGGTCCGTGGGTGAGAAGGAGAGAAAAATAGAGAAAGAAAGCAGAAAAACAGAGCTACTTGCCTTGATTGCAAAGCGAGCCGAAGAAGCCGGCCAGGCACTCACAGTGACCCGTGACGTGGTGGCACGGCCCTGTGCTGTGTACACACTGTGGGCATGACTGGCTGCAGCGGTGCCCATAGAAACCAGGAGGGCAAACTGTCACAGGGGCAAAGGACGGGAAGTGGAGGAGAAGAACAAAACAGAAAGTACAACAGAGATATGGAAGGAAAAATAAAATGGGAAAGCAAGGAACGGCCAATTAAGAGATTAGACACTTAATAAATGGAAAATATTAATACAAATCTGTAAGTAAACACTGTTACATTTTGTGCCAGGCAAGATAAGAAAATCAGTGTATATTGTATTTCTGTGAATTCCTATAGCTCATTTGGAAGAGCAATGCGTTAACAATGCAAAAGGGTATCCCAGGGAACACATACTGATAAATGTATAGATTGAACGCAATGTAGTAAGTCCCGTTGGATAAAAGCATCTGCCAAATACGAAGTATTTTATTTTATATAACGTTCTTTTCTTTTATTCTTATTCTAATTGTATTACAGAGGTGCAATTTTAAATATGACACTATTTTTGTATAATAAATTGAATACATTTAAACTTTCAGAATTTTCTGGATTGGTTATATTTTCTTATTAAATAATAAATAACTTTTAATAATAAAGAACCCTTAAATGGTTCTAAAAAGAACCATCTAACTTGGATTCAAAGAACCATTTGGGGTTCTTTTTAATGAACCCATTAAAATGGTTCTATATAGAACCATTTTGGGGTTCCATATATGAAGCGTGTGATAGAACCATTACTGGTTCTAAATAGAACCATTTCTTTTAAGAGTGTATCACATACACTCTTAAAAATAAAGGTGCTTCACGATGCCATAGAAGAACCTTTTTGTCTAAATGGTTCCATAAAGAACCTTTAACATCTGAAGAAACTTTCTGTTTCACAAAAGGTTCTTTGTGGCGAAATAAGGTTCTTCAGATTACAAAAAGGTAAGAAAAAGATGGTTCTTTAAAGAACCTTTGACTGAATGGTTCTTTGTGGAACCAAAAATGGTTCTTCTATGGCATCGCTTGAAGAACCTTTTGAAGCACCTTTATTTTTAAGAGTGTAGAAGGATTTAGCAAACATACAGGCAACTATGGTTACAAAAATTTTGTACAAAGCCGTTCGCATTCATACATAACATTTAGAAACATCAATATTTTTGTCCTGTTATTCAATAAAATGAAAAAGAACCAAAGACTTAAACTACTTCAGTCTGTGTGCATTGAATTTATTTAATACACGAGTTTCACAATTTGAGTTGAATTACTGAAATAAATGAACTTTTCCATGACATTCTAATTTATTGAGATGCACCTGTACGTACTATACCATTCAAATGTTTAAAAAAAAAAAAATATATATATATTAATAAATTACTATATGCTTTTACTCAGCAAGGAGGCATTAAACTTATTAAAAGTGACAGTATTTTCTAATGTTACAAAATATTTCTATTTCAAATTCAGATTTTCATCATAGGAATAAATTCATTTTTTAAATATATTAAAATAGAAAACTGTTATTTTAAATTCTAATGCAGCCTTGATGAGCCTTCTTTCAAAAACATTAGGAAATCTTTCAAACTTCAAAGTTTTGAATGGCAATGAATATAAATATGCTTTAGCACTTCATTTAACAGGTCTGAAACCATTACAGTAATGTTACAATCTATGGCCACTTGAGGTTTGAAACATTCTTCCACAAACTAGCATTTAACCCTAAACCACGGAGCCACTGTCACCTGTACAACTAATATAGGCAAAAATAATGAGGGGGTTTTGTCATCCTCATGGTCAGGCTCATTGTTTCACAGAGCATGAGGGCCCAGTCTGTCTCTGTCTCGCAGCTCTGTCCGAGACGGGAGCTTCTGTGGGTCATTTTTCTTCACTAGAGTCTTAATTCGCTTTAATTGCTGCAGCTTTGTGTAATGCAGGAGAGTAGTGTATGCTGACCTTTCTACCATGGGTGGTGGGCCTTTGTAATTAAGATAATTGTACAACAACGAACAGTGCGGTGAAGATTAATCGCATTCCCTTTCCTTTCTCGCTGTAATCTTTGAATACACATCTGCACACACGTCTCCTTACCGGGTGAATCTCATGACACATGCCCGGATCATATTTTACCCAAAAATCTAAATCAAGAGAATATATTTTATATTTTGCTTAAAGAAAAATCTATTAACATTTTTTTGCATTGACACCCAAAATTCTCCTCACTTTAATGCTGAAAATCCCATTCTCATTACTGTAATGTGAAAACAAAAGAATAATAATAATAATAATATATCATTTCAATTCTATTTAGCTATTTAGAAGTATTTATACTATGCATAAGGTCAGTACATATTGTACTGTCTTTATGCAGTTTTTAATATTTAAAAAATATCATTGCATTCCAGTGTTTACCTAATGTATTATTCAATTTATTTATAGTAATACAGTAAAACTTACTATTAAAATAAAAATGAGAATATAATGAGATGCAATGATAATAATGGAACATTATCAGGGGTGCACATACAGTAAGTGGTGCGCAGGTGCAAAATAAAAAAAAAGGTTCAGACTGCTCATTTGAGGTTGACAGCTGTTAATGCAGAGTCACTGTTTTAGATCGACTAACTGTAATACTATATAAGATTCCCATTAAAACTGAAGGCATAAATCCAGGCTATGTGTTGCCCGTTTCAGAGCAAAGCATAAAACTGTGATATTTCATTCATTGACGTGCTTCACTCGGCAACACCAGGGTGGAAAATCAACAGTGCATATACTTGCTGGCAACCCACCAAAAAAAAAAAGAAGAAGCTGATTTTAGGTTTGAAAATGTTGAAGGGGGGGAAAAAAAGAAAATGTAGGCTTGTAATTTTTAAGTGTACTATAAAAACAACTTTATTTTTATTAAATACTCATATTTTATGTTAAAATATAATAGTATTTTCAAACTTTATTTTGTTTATTATTTATTAAAAAAACAAAATAAAGTGCAATAATACTATTATTACTGTTATTAATTATTATTATTTTTTTAATAGTTATATTTAGTCACACTATGTGCAGTGTGAGCACCAATCAAAAATAATGTGCACCCCTGAACATTACAAAAAAACCCTCAATTAAAACAGTACATTTTAGCTTAGTAAAACAATTTTTTTTATGTCAAATATATTTACCCATTTTATTTATTGAAAATATATTCCATAAAAATGGATAGCTAGACAGACAGACATAACGATAGAGATGATGATGATGATAGATAGATAGATTGATAGATAGATGAACGAAAGATAGATAGATAGATAGATAGATAGATAGATAGATAGATGAACGAAAGATAGATAGATAGATAGATAGAACGACAGATAGATAGATAGAACGATAGATAGAGACAGACAGACAGACAGATAGATAGATAGATAGATTCATTGAACGATAGATAGAATGATAGACAGATCAATCGATCGATAGATCGATAGATAGATACATAGAACGATAGATAGAACAATAGATAGATAGATAGATAGATAGATAGATAGATAGATAGATAGATAGATAGATAGATAAATAGATAGATACACTCTTAAAAATAAAGGTGCTTCACGATGCCATAGAAGAACCTTTTTGTCTAAATGGTTCCATTAAGAATCTTTAACATCTGAAGAACCTTTCTGTTTCACAAAAGGTTCTTTATGGCGAAAGAAGGTTCTTCAGATTACAAAAAGGTAAGAAAGAGATGGTTCTTTAAAGAACCTTTGACTGAATGGTTCTTTGTGGAACCAAAAATGGTTCTTCTATGGCATCGCTTGAAGAACCTTTTGAAGCACCTTTATTTTTAAGAGTATAAATAGATAGACAAAAACCTTAACCTGAACATGTTTTTCTGATATTCACCTGTCTCCTGCCATATACAAACTTTATCTTATACAGACTACATTTGATCCTTGAAAATGACCAGCAATCAATCAGCTTTTCTGTTGAGGGCACGGTGTGGTAAAGAGAAACAGCAAGAGCAAAACAGTGTCTTAAGAAGCAGACCCTTGAGAGGCCGAGTAAACACTGATGAGAGCCCCACATGGACACTGCATCTCTACAGAGATCCAGGCCTGAAGTGATTAAGACGTGTGTGATTAAAGCTTTGCTCTTACATGTTCATGACTCTTCATTAAGTGCTTCCCTCTTCAACTGTCCCCACTCCACTCCCAGAGGGTCACCGTCTGGATGTAACAGTCGTGACCCCCCCTCTCATTCCCACCAGTTGTTTATCATCTTGGCTGAAGTATGTTCAAATAAACCACTTATGTGACAGGCTTTGAGAAGGTGACATTGTGTAAAGAGTGCCACTGGAAGGAGAAAGGAAGTTGACAGGAAGCTTACTTCTCTTGCAGGAAGTCCCGCGGTAGCCGGGAGCACACACGCAGGTCCCGTCTTCAGGAGAGCAGGAGCCTCCATTCTGGCATGAGCAGGTCATGGAGCAGTTAGGCCCCCAGAAGCCTCGAGGGCAGATGCTGTCACAGTGGATGCCTGTTAAAACAAATCAGGGAAGTATCACTGCATGTTCTCAATGTGCTTCCATATTTACTATTATAGCAGAAAACAGAAGTGGGAATAGATGCAGGAAAGCGAAACCATCAAAAGCAAAATAAATCAGATGCTTGTTTGGAAAAGAGGCATGTGCGGTGGGGGATGCCTGAACCTTAAGGGCACTGCTTTTATAGTAAGCTAGTATCATATTTTCTATTGGGACAGTAGCAGAGTACCAAGCAGCCTTCTCTGAAAGCACAAGTCCTGGTTTCAAAAGCGTGGGGTGTGTGTAGGTTCAGGCATCTCTTGGCCGCAGCACTGGGCTGCTCTGTGCTGTGCTCTGTATGTATTTTTGATCAGACTGGGCCTCCCTGCCAGTGCAGAGTGTTGATTAACAGGGCCAAGTCCCTCGAGTGGTTGAGCCTCCTCTCCCATTCTCTTTCAGCTGGTTTGTGTGTAGAGATCCACTAGGGACATGCTAAAGTACACACACTCACACATACACAAATATATAAAGAAGAGACATACTATATAGTTTTAAAGTGTTGTAATGTACTGTAATGTCATTAGCTGGTCATGCTGAGGTTACAACAAAAACAGGAAAACAACAAGGCACATGGACACAAATTCTCATAAACAAGCTTACCACAGAACCAGCACAGCAGACAAAGAGCTAAATATTTACTATAAAACAGATAATAATAATAATAATCACAGAAATAATAAAAAATACATATAAAATGTAATATAATGAAATAATAGAACACACACAATATATGTGTGTTTATATGTAGATAGATAGAAAGATAGTGTGAAGGTAATTTTTAAATTAAACATTTTAAATTAATCATAACTAACATTCCTCTTCCTTGTGGGCTTAACAGTAGTCTTTTCCTTGCAGGCCTAATGTTTGTATGCTTTTGAGAACAAAATGTACTAACACTTTAGTTAGTGTGTTGCAATAACAGATGCATATGGACAAGATGGCTAGACACCTGTCTGAATATAAAAATAACCATAACAACCAATGACTTGAGTAATGAGCTGAAGTAATCAAAAACCAAATTTGTTTTGCCAGTAACAAAGGGAAGGTTTGCTAAATTTCACTTATGAAGAACCAATTACATTAGAGAAAAATTATATGAATCACGTCATCTTTGCCATGCACCTATGCTATATAAACTGTTGTATTCTTTTTGTCGGAGGGATTCTTTTTGATTGGTATAAGGTCCACTCGGCCGTGATTAAAGCATATTCAAAGGCATTGTCCGGAGTCTGTCTGGTTACTGCTGTGTAGTAGGTGTAGTGGAAAACTAGAGATCCAAGTGATAGTGATCATAGGGGGCGAGACATCGTCAGGTGGCTGTAATTCTTAGCTGAATTGTCTCTGGCCTGGTTCCCCAGTGTGGTCAGAGCTATTGCGATTAGTGGTCAGAAAAGATCATTTTTGGTGTCGGGAGACACCCGGTTTAACTTAAGTCAGGTGCGTAGGGGAATTTCTACCACATATAGATAGATTATATTAGATAAATTAGATATAGGGCTGTGACGATAACCACATTACTGCAGTAATGAGATGCCGACCGTGTTGAGGTCATCAATGCACTTTTTTTTTGTATTTTAGAAAGTTACAGGAGTGCATATGGTGTGTGATATGAACTATAAACACAATAATCACTGTTTATCATAATTTACTTTCGTCTGTCCTATGTTCAAAGGCTTCAGGAGAAGAAAAAAAACAGCTTCCTGCGCAAGGGAGAGGGACAGTCCATTAAACATATGGGGGATTTAATTTGCGTGTGTGTCTGATTATTATTAATTAAATGCTAGGTTTCAGTACTTGTGATCTACAGACAATGTTCAATAAAATACACAAACACAGGCATAAAAGACAAAACCATAATGTAAACAGTTGGAGTTAGATTTTAATTGCAAGAGCTTATAACGATACTTCTCTTATGTGGTATAGGCTATTATTTACAGTTGACGACATTATTCAAAAAATGGCCACGAATCTAGTGCCTAAGCCAAATATTGTTTCACCTATTTGGGCACATTTTGACTATATGCGTTACGAGCACTCCCTCGTAGCGGGGAGAGGGTGCGGTGTTTAGTGGCCCCCTCAAGCACTGACGGCCCTGGGCCCAGTAGTTGTACAACAGCCGAACACTTGTACACTTGTACAGACTATAGCCTAGCCTGACCAAACCGTGTGATTTGTTGCTTCTTCACCGCGGTAAGAAAAAAATCCTATAACGTCACAGTAATATAAATCTATTGATTGAACATCAGTGTGTGTGTGTGTGTATATATATATATACAGTGGGGAAAAAAAGTATTTAGTCAGCCACCAATTGTGCAAGTTCTCCCACTTAAAAAGATGAGAGAGGCCTGTAATTTTCATCATAGGTATACCTCAACTCTGAGAGACAAAATTAGAAAAAAAAATCCAGAAAATCACATTGTAGGATTTTTAAAGAATTTATTTGCAAATTATGGTGGAAAATAAGTATTTGGTCAATAACAAAATTTCATCTCAATACTTTGTTATATACCCTTTGTTGGCAATGACAGAGGTCAAACGTTTTCTGTAAGTCTTCACAAGGTTTTCACACACTGTTGCTGGTAATTTGGACCATTCCTCCATCTTTTTTGCCCCACTGTATATATATATATATATATATATAATGCAAATCTCATTATGAATATGAATTTCAATTGCAAATTTATTCAGGTAACTAGTGTCAAATCTCCACAGTTTTTAATCATTTTACCGCATACTTTAATAATGTCACAATTCATTTCTGTTCATGTAAGAATAGTATCTCATCAGGGGCTTAGTGAAGGTTAAATTGGCAGGAGAATTGTTTATTATGATTATTAATATTACTAACTGTACACACACACACACACACACACACACACACATATATATA